TGGTCATCATAGTGAATTGTAAAGGTAATGATAATGACACACAAAATGGTACCGGTTACTCTAGGCAGAATTTCTATTAGTATCCAGCACCAACTTAGCTTTACTTCCACATGAATGAGGCTGGCCACAGCCCTCTACCCTCCTTCTCCCAGTGTCTCAAGGGTATGGAGATCTCCCTGGGACTTTGAAACCTTATCTTCATTAATCATAGTTTAGGATTTTATACCAAGGAGATGTTACTCAGTAGGAATTCAGTGAAAATCACATCTGTAGCCTTGTTATTTTACACTCTCCTAGCAAATGGAGGCTGAAAGGGTTCAAAGGCTTCTACATTATATTTAGAATAGCCCAACACCTTTGTTCTAAAAATAAATACACGACTTAAAAATAAATAATTAAGTGGGTTCAAACCAGAGACTTGCATTGCTTTTGAGGATATTCACATACGATCAGCTGTTGAAAGAGTTGCAGTTCAGCTCTGCTGAGCTAAGATTTAGTGACAGGGGCACCCAGGGATCAGACTCAAAGGCAGAACCTTAGTCTTTTCCTTAGTGAACAAGAAATGGGTATGGAGACATCAGACAAGATGACATGGAGAGATAATACACAGTACCAAAAGCCTTGAATGCTTTCCAGCAGCATGGAAGACTGGTACGGCCAATCTTTAGGCCAAGATTCAATGAAGAACACTAAGAACAATTGTAAGTTCATTCTTACTTGGCAAAGCACGTCAGTTTATGCTTATCTTTAACCTGTGGTTATTGAAGATAATAAAATTTATGCATGCACTTAAAATTAAACAAGAGGTTTATTGTTTTGTTGAAAGGAATCTATAGTATGCTGGCGAGAAAGTAGCCTGGCCTGCCATGGCCAGGGGAGGCTGTTTTTATATAAAGCTGCATGACAAGGTAAAAAACAGGGAAAACTTTTTGAAGAAGATTTCCTCATCCTCACTTCCCACTCCATATCCTCCCACCTTCCTAAATTACCCTTTTTACATCTCAATTGATGGAAAGACAAAGAAACCACTGTAACTGAGCAGAGCTGTAGAATGTAGCAAAAATTGCAAGGGGCAAGACTGATAAAAGCAAGTCTGGTCCAGCTTGAATATATGAGGCAAAATAAGCAGAAGAAAGCTAAAAATGTACGTTGACAATGAAGGACAAAGAGCATCATTGCTGCAGTCTGTTAAAGCATTTGCAGCAGACAAAAGATACAAGAAGAATTGGCAAGTAGAATTAATAGAAGAGAAAGGATAAAAAAATAGCAAAATTATTAAATTAGTTTTTTTGTAATTATTTTAAACAGTGGAGCACATGCTCTAGTATTCTGGGAGTTAGGCAGTTGTACACATCTTTCTCATTGTTTTGAATGAAGCTCAAGCATATGATTAAAAGTCTTTCCTAAATAAGAGTATTTTTCTGAAACCAGGCTGAAGACAGGAATGGAGAACTCCTTGAACAGGAATCACATTTCCAGACATAGGTCCAGGTTCAACCATGTGTATGTGTGATGCTATATTTGAAAATAGTGTTTGCACGTATTGCAGAGGGAGTACTTAATGTGCTTGAAGTTGGCAGCATGCTTGAGCACCCTGTTAGATTGTGGTGAGAGAGAGAAGGTAAAAGCTGTAAAGGAGAAAGAAAATACTTGTGAAAGGTTTGGGCATTTTTCCAGATTGCTGGTACACTGTAGTGTGCTTACTATTAATGCTGTAACTTGTTATGTAGACCCTTCAGAGCAGAATTCTGATATGACTTTGAAATTCAGACTTTGCCATTTCCAGGTCCAGGTAACATTTAAAAAAGAATAACTGGTTTTAATGAGAAGGGACAGAATTATTTTTAGTTATTTTTCTGAGGGAAGGGAGATAGGGGATAGACAGATAGCTTTTTAGGGAACTAAAACCTATGCTTTAGGAAAAAAAAGCTTAATTTAAAAAATAACTCATTACGAACTGATTCACTGTTTTTAAGAAATATGGTGAGAATATGTTTGGTTTTAGTACGTGAACGTCTTGAAAGGAATAACTGTTTTGGAGACAGAAAATATTAACTTACGGAGGTCTTGCTGTAAGGATTAAATGCAATACTTTGACTATTGCCATGGTCCTATGGAAAATAATGAGAAATTGAGGAAAACATTAGAAGTATGCATTAGAAAGTTTAATTTGATTCCTAAGTTAACCTTATTTGAAATTGAAGAAGCTCAGCTATCTTTTTTACCTCCCTCTTTCCTTGTATTTCTGTAAAGTCAATATCTGCAGAACCTTTTAGACACTATACAGTTTCAGCTTTTTTTAAATTATTTTTAATTTTCATTTGTTTATAGGCTTCATATCATTATTCACTCAGTCTAGATATATGACAAATCTCAAATAAAGAAAGTGCTCATGACTTTCTTGGTCTTACACTGCCATTTGGATGGTGTTCAAGTTTAGCTGAATATTAAAACTTTACGAGGATTATCCAAATGATATCTGCAGATCAGTGGTTTTCAACCTGTAGTCTGCCATCTGGGAATCTCTGGATTATTCCTGAGCGGTCCATAAAAACTGACTAAAATCCCAGCCTACTT